TTCGGACTTTGCTAGATGTGTGGATACTAGAAAGGTCACATTTGGCTATCTGTTCCTCTTGGCTGGAGGGGCTATATCATGGAAGAGTGCGAAGCAGACGGTTATTGCTGCATCCACTATGGAAGTGGAGTTTGTATCATGCTTTGAGGCCACAATTCAAGGAAATTGGCTGCGAAACTTTATTTCAGGGCTTGGAATTGTCGACAGTGTTGCCAAGCTGCTGAAACTTTATTGTGATAATTCTGCAGCAGTTTTCTTTTCAAAGAACGACAAGCACTCTAAAGGTGCTAAACACATGGAATTGAAGTATTTTGCCATTAAAGAAGTTCAAAAACAACTAGTGTCGATCGAGCATATTAGCACCAATCTTATGATTGCAGATCCATTAACGAAACGATTTCCTCCAAAGACATTTAATGAACATGTCGAAAGGATGGGCATTATTAAAAATTATCATTGACATTATTATATAATTTATGATGTTTATGTATTGACACTTTGAGCTCATTAGTGTATTGTTTTTGACAAAATATTGTTCCTATCATAACTGTTGGTACATGTACGTGAATGGATTATGTGAATACTGATAGGGATAGTCTTTTCGAAGACATTATTGTAATGTAATTATCGAACTTCTCATTTTGTGTCATGTTGGATAGGGACTAATATTGTAGTACATGGAAGGAATTATGCTGATATAGTGGTGTAAAACCGCCATGATTTTTATTAGTCTTTACTCAAGGATGATATATTAAGTGGCCAATGTATGATGGATTTTAACTCATGATATGCGCATTATGTTATATACCACATAACGAAACAATATATTACATAGGCGAAGTGGGAAAATGTAAAACCAATTATTTTGTGGCCCATGTAATATTAAAAAATTAATTAAAAGTGGTTAATATTGCTAAAATCCTATTGGCCTAATTGAGAAGTAGCAGTTTTATAATTGTCCACTTTGATGGAAAGTAGAAAGTTTTATGGCCCACAGGAGACTGCCTCTTTCTGC